AGTAGAATCAGAATAGAAGAGATCAAAAACAGAACCACTATCACAGATGCAATAAAAGAAATGAGAACAATGATATAATTGTATAGCGTTGCAACGCGTTATGCAGAAAACGTAACAAGACGATCTGAACATAAATGGCAACGTAGAATAAGTGAGGCAAAACCTAGACAAACGAAAAAGGATAGAGGTTGCTATATGAAATGCAGAAGGAAAATTGTATAGTGCCTATAGTCAGTATTGTGTAACTATGGGTTCAAAAAAAAAATATTTTATTCGATCTTTACTATCTTCTTCTTCTTAACGTGCCCCATCCTAAAGGACATTGGCGATCATCATTGCCATTTGACTTTGTTCTATTGTCACTGTCTTCCTCAATCTTGTTCTTGCTTACCACCATGATTTTTGTTTTATTTGTATTCATTTGCCATTCCATACCTTTCGCAGTATTGGGTAATGCGATCAACCAAGATCTGTAGTCCTTCTCTGCTGTCCGCAAGGAGTATTGTGTCATCTGCGAATCTAAGATTATTCAGAAGTGGTCCGTTAATAAATATGCCTTCATTTACGTCTTCTAATGCCTCTTTAAACAATTCTTCTGAATACATATTCAAAAGTAAAGGAGAAAGCACACATCCTTGTCTTACTCCACGATTTATAAGTATTTCTGTCTATTTTTGTTGGTCTATTCGTATTATGGCTTTCTGATATCGGTATAGATTGGCAAGGCAATGATTCCCACGTCCTCGTCATCTAATATACTTCTTCTTCTTCGTCCCTACTATAATCTAATATAAAAGAATAATTGATGGTTATATTCCTAAAACAAGTAGAAAAGAAAGACCAAATGTGTCGTTTAGAGAAGGTTAGACAACACATATAGAGAATAATGTAGAGAATAGAGACAAACTGAACACGAATTGGAACATTATGAAAAGTTATGTAAACAATCAGTATGGTTTTAAGAAAACTGAAAAAATACATTTACTCGTAAAGTATGATAGCTAAAGTAAGTTTAATAACAGATCTACAAGAAAAAATTCTACTAAACATTTAATTCTCGTGACGGAAATTGTTAGGTTCGTGTTTTTAGGGTTAGTTGGATTAGTTGTTAAGTTAATACAATTAATAATTTAATAAAGATGTTCAATTCAAATATCTGAATTATTTTCTAAAATTTGCATTTTCCGTCAAAGACAAAATTGTTGAATAGTGTTTTATTTAGATTTTGCACGTCTCTTACCACATTGCGTTTGATAAAAACGAGACGAAACGAGAAAATCTCATTCTCGGCATCACTAGCAATCCCCCTTTAATTACCAACCGGTAATTAACTTTTACTACTTCAATTGAGAGTGCAATAAAAAGTTCAATAGTTTGAAGTATTAGAAATGTTCGGGGGTATATACCTAGATATCGATCCCGAGCCAAGGCAAGTAAAAACGTTTTGGTATCTGATAAGGGCTTACAACAACGCAAAGTAATTTCTATATTCTTTCATTACCAAATTGGTTAGATTAAAGCATGATATTGAAAATACTTATCTTATCGAGTTAGACACATCTGTTTAAACAGACTAGAATAAAGTCGTGTTGGGTGTATAAGCAATTATTCGCTGCGACTTATCGCTCCATTTTCAGAAATTTGTTTGCTGATCATTAGCGTCATACTGAAATACATAAGATTACGGAAAGCTTCAGTATCATTTTTGTTATCTAAGCTTTTTGATTGAACCTGTTGCCATGAGAAATACACAACATTTGCTACACTTTTATTGATTTTCCGATAACGATGAAAGTTATTTTAAAGATACAAGCAAATAAGTGGATGAAATAACGGGATTCCTATGATTGCTATGATAAGTTAATACTAATATATATTATTGTTATGATACGTAAAATTAAAAATAATATTGGTTTGCTCTTAATATATTTTAAAGTATAAAATATAATAATTCAAATAATTCAACTAATAAACTATAAAAGATATTTCGAAGGAATGAAAGTCCATTATCCTGGATTACCTATAGGAAACAAAATTTAAAGATTGAACAAAATAGTGAAATCGTGAACAATGCGAGCGGGTTTTCCAAATAGATTTGTACGTCGATATACAGTGAATAAGACAATAGAATAGAAATATTTAAAAAATATAATTCTCCGTTAGTTCTTAAGAATTTGTAGAAACCGATTAGCATGTTAATAGTTTTTAGGAAATTTATAATTGTAGGTAAAATTGTTGTTTGTTATCTAAATGGTAGATGGGAATGAATGTGACGAATTTTGATTGGCAGAGATTGAAAGAAGTGGGATAGGTATGAGGAATGAGAGTTTTGCTAGATTTTTGAGGGAGAAAAGATAATCAGTTCTTTTCCAAAGGTTTCAAGGCGAACAGTCGTTGTTCTCTGGTGGTTCTCCAGTGATAGTAGGCAGTAGAAGTGAATGTTTGTGAGTTTTCTTGGAGTAACTGTAACTGACGGAAGCTGATCCAGTAAAATATTGTAAGTTATATTTTTCTACTTATATTCCAAGAGACATTGTTCAGGCCGAAACGAGAGATTTAGTTTATCAGTATTTGTACTATTTTTTGTAGTGTGACTGAAAGGGTTAATGGAATCATTGTGACATTTTTCAGTATTCACAGTTGGCAACACTGTCCACACATTTACAACTGAGCAAGCATTGAAAACATAAACTTACTTGTCTCTGACTTTTATTTGAGAGTGTTTTAGGACATTTCCCACAACGTTCGTGTTGTTTTGTTCTATTTTGTATTGTTTTCAATAATTAGTGAAATTGTTTCATTTAATTCCATCATGGATATTTCGCCTAGGAAGCGTGAAAAGATTATCACTTTAAATGAACACACTTCTATGTCACAAAGAGAAATCGCAAGAACGTGTGGAGTGATTTGGAGGTAGTAAGTAAGATTTTGAAGCGTAAACAAGAAACTGGATCAATGGATGTGTAAAGGTTAGGAAAATGCGGAAGGAATAGAAAAACAACACCAACAGAAGAAAGATTTTTACTTGGAAAGAGCAAATTGGAATCAAGAAAAACAAGCCAAGAGCTCCAACAAGATCTAGCAACATCAGGTGTAGTGATTCGTGACTTAGCTGTTCGAAAAAGACTTTTAGAGAATGATAGAAGGGCATTGCGTCCACAGGAAAAACATTTTCCAACCGAACTAATACAGAAAAAAAGGCCAAAAATACTCTAATTGGACTGTAGACGACAGGAGAAAGTCCCATTTACAAATTAAACTTACTTTATAGTTCAGGAATAGCGGTCAAAATTCGTCAGGAAGTCTGACAATGAAAACCTTACACCATTCATATTGATCAAATCGTAATACATCCAGTCAAAAAAAACGTTTTGGGGATGTTTTTCATACATGGGGATTGGATGTTTGGTACCAATTGAAGGCATGATGCACATTTAAAAGTACAAATCCATGTTGGAACAGCGTTTTTAAATAAAACTTTAACATTGTCAGTCTCAAAAAAAGGCGATTCTTCAATAGGAACTTACTCCCTGTCACAAGTCAAAGTAAATGATGGAATTTTTCAAAACGATAGTATTGGATTAGATTGGCCCGATAAGTTGCCAGACCTTAACCTCATTGAAAATTTATGCACCATTTGCAAAGCTAGACTACGCAAAATTGACTGTACTACAAAAATAAAAATGATGAAAAACAATCTTAAGCGGTCATTCAGGTTTCGTTTCGAGGTAAAAGGATATCTAAGAACTGTCATAAGCTCGTACTATCTATACCAAATCGGGTAAAAGCAGTTATTGCAGCGAAGAGGGGACATATTTCCTACTAAATGATCTAAGATTCTGTTTATAGTTTTCTTAAAATATAATTTTTTTCTAAATAAACTATTTTTTCATTAAAACAGCCTAAGATTCCATAATTTCGCAGAAATAAAATTATTTCGCAGCTAAAAGATTATGAAGTTGTTTCTTAAAGTAATGTTAATGTGATCGTACCTTACTAAACGTTCGTAAAAGAACACCTCTAGCTAAAAAGCTTTAATAAAATTTGCAAAAAATGTAGGGGTAGTCACCATCCCTCGTTTTTATTTTCTTTGAAAAATCAGAACGAGGGGACAGATTATCGATTCTTAGTGCCTACCCTAACAATAAAAACTCTTGGGGAAGGTTGTGCACAATAACCACGTAATTTAGGGTGAGTGAAACTATCACATCAGTAACTGGTATAGGAAACAGCAATATAAAACTATCTAAAGTGGGAAATATTTTTAATAAGGAAGAGAGGAACAAAAATATAGCAGCATAGACTTATACCAAAAAATTAAAATAGCGGCATAATTTAGATATAAATTTTTTTTAGAAATAAATAAATTTTAAAAACAATATAGTATTCCATAGTAAAATTAAAATAATAATTTAACAAATTTTTTTAAGACTAATTCAAAACTTACCAAGAAACTTACCAAAGGAAACAATTTTCAGTGTAGGTATATTAAAAAAAACAAAATTAGATCCAAAAGATAGGAAATAGGAGTAGTAAAAAAAGCTTAAAAGTTACGGAAAATGTAGTAAGACAAAGGACCAGGGTACAAAAGTTAATAAAGCAGCAGGGTGCTTAAACAGCACCTTATGTAGGTACAAACATCTTAATATAGAGTTGAAAATTAAAGTAGAAAACTAAAGGAAAACAGAAATAATGGACTACCATCAACCGAACTAGCTGACATAGTTTGTGAGTGAAAAATTTCATCAAACATCAAACGAATAATATATGAACTCTAAAAAACACCAGTATTTAAAACTACTACACATGTATTATGCTATACAAAATATATTAAGGAAAAATAAGTAATAAGTAAAAACTGGGCAAGGCATACACCTGATTTTGCTTTTGTTTTGTTTAAAATTAAGACTTGAAATTAATTAAATAATTTTACGTACAGCAAATATTTATACACATATTAAAATATTATAATGGTCATCAAGAAAGTTTATAAAACTCACCTGAAATTGGAAAACCACTTCACCAACTGGGCAGTGTTGTTTTTATTGAATTTGATGTCGGGGAAGTACATTTTGAGGACCGCTGAACTTGGATACCTCACCCAGAAGAACATCAATTTCGCTTTCCTGAGATGCATCGGAGTTAATGTTGACGAGTGCTCAGGAGTTAAGGAAATACCGGGCTATAATTGCGGAAAACAATCTTTCACAAAACTAATTTTTTATAAAACATATAATATTTTAAATGGTAGATCTTTCAAAATAATAATTATATATAATACCATTTATTGTAAAAAAAGTGCAATAAGAGCAATTTTTTTGGATATGTTCTATCCTAGCCAGAAATATAAATTATTTTTATATATAAATATTATCTATTGCTTATAGCATATATTCATAGTTATACAAATATCAAAATACAAATTGACTAAATGAAAAAAATCAAAATTTCGCAGTTGAGACCCTTGATGTATAAATTTTAAAATCGCCATTCTGTATTTCGCTAAATATATTATTACAACTGAAAGGAGTAGAATTTAATCTTCCACATTTGTAAGACTTCCTTTACAACCTCCGACTTAGGGTTAAGTTTTTCAGTAAGGTATCCGAATGAAATTGAAATAAAACCTTATTAGAATCCCTACTATTTTATCAAGTTGGAAACTAAAAGAAATTTCACTTATACGTCAGCAATAGTTGAAAACTAAGTTATCATGGATGTAAATATATGTCATTTAACTTCTAGAACTACACGTATTAGCAGTGGCGTACGGAATATAAAAAAAGGCACACATACATGGGTGTCTGTACGTAAAATCATAATCGCATAAAACCAGGAGAATATTGCTTTAAAAATAGTAATAATAAGACGCCACTTAAATAGGAAATTATGACAAAAACTGAATATTAACCTTATATTCAGGGATTCTATAGTATTCTCTACCTTGCTTCGCTCAACCGTTTCCATTTCTCTGTATTGTCCCATTCTAAATCGATTAGGCTTCTCTTACTTATGGCGTCGTCTACTTCGGTCCTCCAGGAAGTATTTTCCTCCTTCCTATGGAGCTCCATTCGGATATTCTCTTTATCCATCTGCTGTCGCTACTTCTTCTTACCACTTTAGTCTTTTTTGTTCTATATATGTTAGTATGTCTGTGTCTTTTGAGGTTCTTTGCGTTATTTCGTCATTACTTCTTCTATCCATTACTCTGCAGCATCTTCGCAGGCATTCCATCTCTGTTGTTACTATCTTACTGCTGTTTTTCTTGTTTATAATCCAATTTTCAGCCCTATATGTCATAATAGTTTACATTAATGTTTTATAAATCTGTGATTTTCTCTTCATATTTAGGTGTCTATCCCACTATATTAGGTGTCATATTTAGGTGTCTATTGCAGTAATAGTCTTGTTACACAAAAAAGGCGATATTACTAAATTAGAAAATTATAGACCCATCAGCCTCTTGACACATATGTACAAACTCTTTATGAAAATCTTAACAAAGAGGCTAACACCTAAACTTGATTTCTATCAGCCCAAAGAACAGGCAGGCTTCAGGGCAGGATATGGCACAAATGACCATTTGCATACCATAAAGATATTAATAGAAAAGTGCATCGAGTACAACATACCACTGGTTCTTGCATTTGTCGATTACGAGAAGGCTTTTAATTCTGTAGAGTTTGAAACAATACTGGAAGCCCTAAATCAAAGCCGAATAGATTACAGGTACACGACACTAATCAAAAACATCTATCAGAACGCTACATCAAGTATACGACTGCACGAAGACACAGAAAAATTCAGCTTAGGTCGAGGAGTTAGACAAGGAGACAATTTCACCAAAATTGTTCACGGCAGCTCTAGAGTCAATATTTAAGGGTACTCAATGGCAAGATATGGGCATCAATATAGATGGAGAAAGATTAAATCACCTAAGGTTTGCAGATGATGTTGTATTAATCGCAGATAACTTACAAGATACGGTTTCTATAATGCATTCGCTTAAAAGTCTGTCTGAAAGTGCAGGATTAAAGATAAACTTTGAGAAAACTAAAATTTTAACAAATCTCGTAATGAGTGGAAATATAACTATTGACAATAATACCATACAACAAACAGACACTTACAAATATCTGGGACACGAAATCAAAATAAGCAGAGACAATCAAACACATGAAATACAGAGGCGAATAGGTCTAACATGGGCAGCATTTGGCAAATTAAGCCATATTCTAAAAAGTTCAATTCCCATGTGTCTCAAGCGAAAGGTTTATAACCAATGTGTATTACCTGTACAAACTTATGGAGCAGAGACATTAACACTCACGCAAAAATCTGCGAATAAACTTAGAGTTACACAACGAGCCATGGAACGTGCAATGCTGAACGTGAGCCTTCGAGACCACATAACAAACCAACAAATTAGGCGAAGATCAGGAGTTCAAGACGTCATCGAAAGAACCACGACGCTTAAGTGGAACTGGGCAGGGCACTTAGCCAGAACACAAGATGGACGGTGGACAAGACGTATTATGGAATGGAGGCCCAGAAATTATAAAAGAAGCCGAGGACGACCACCGACTAGATGGACCGATGACATTAAACGTGTATCGGGAAACTGGCTACAAGCGGCCCAGTGTAGAGAACACTGGAAAGAACTGAGGGAGGCCTATGTCCAGCAGTGGACGCGATTGGCTGATTGATGATGATGATCCCACTATAGTGAGTTAAGTTGTCGGATTGCTGTTGTGTTTTGAGCTAACCTTTGCTTAAGTTCTTCCTCTGTTTTTGCCTTTTTCTTGATTATAAACCCAAGTATTTGAATTTATTCTTTCCTCCTGATTGTTACATTATCGTCAATCTGTAGATCTTTTATGTCTTCTTTACTTGTAGATAGTGCCTGCGGTACAGGTGAAAATTGGTCAACGGTCTCATGAGCAGAGAATGGCTGGAAAAGTCACAATGGTCGAGAGGACGGAAGAACCAACAGCGTCTGATCCAGAATGGGCGGCTGAAGAAAAGGTCCTCCAAACGGTGGTTGTGGCGTTAGGAATTAGCAATCTAACACACAGAAAAACGTAAGCGTAAGAACGAAAATCGCAAGGTGAAAGAGCCAAATACGGAAACACGTCCGAAACACCAATCGGGAAACACCCGAATGGAAATCCTCACATGATTTATAGAGCGAACCTCATCGTGAACAGAGGGGGGAAGGACGGTGAGGTCAATGTTGCGAAGAATTCGGAGAAGACCCAGTCTCTTACCAAAGCTCAACCAATATTTTAAACTAAAAAGAAACAAGAAATTTGATATTTGCCCTAATGGTGTTCTTTAGCTCACCTAAAATTTCCCTTACAAAAGTTTATCTTTTATCTTGCTCACGCTTTAAAATACTCAATAAAGGCGTATGATTCTCAAACATGAGTTACCCTACATATATTTGAATTTAAAGACAGACAACATTTTTTTGCGAATCGTTTCATTAATTTTAAAAGAAAAGGGAGTTTATTAAACGCATTAGAAAAGAAGACATAATCAAAAATAAACACATTTCAGTGATTAGAATGATTGAAAATTTAGGGAATTAGGAAATGTGACAAGATAAAAAGCATGGAAAAGAAATTACTACAAGGTATGTCACTCGACTATTGAAATGGAAAGCTGGATATGACTGGGAAACTGAGCATATAGAAGAGAAAACTTGTAAATGTTAAACTTTATTACAGACTAAGATTTTTTTCAAAATCTATTATCGGAGAATTTATTAACGTGAATTGAAAAATGAAATTTAATTTCTTTAACGCACAACTACAAAATTAATCAATGTAGCAATGTGGACAACCGACAGCGACGTCACTGTCTATTATGAATACTTGATTGGCCACCATATGTCTTAATACTTATGTGAGAACGAGGTGAAGTTAGACATATGTTCGGAAGAAAAAGAATCAGTAATAAAGTTTGAATTATCGGGTATCGTTTACCGCTTTATCAATAATTTGCTGATAAGTAAAACTTCACATTCTTATTCTACAAGAAGTAGTAGTTATCGTTGGACTTTTTGCTATACTTTCGATTGCTTTGTCCTTATTATTGATATGTTTGCCTCATAGCGTTAATAAATTATATGTAGGAGGATCACTAACTACTGTTTTTTTGTCCGAACGCTGGTTTTAATAATATCTAACTAACCAGGTATTTAATAGGATCGAAAAAAATCAACTATTTTTATCTATGATATAAATTACTCACTGTAATACTACTGTAATAAAGCTGGTCACTTTTATCTTAAATGTTGATATTGACCATTGGACAATGGATAAGTCAGAAGCTTCGAAATAGAAAACAGGAGAATAATTGTATACCACCCAAAATATTCCTTTATCAAGTAAAATATAGGCAGAATAAATAGTTAAAATACCTAGGTTATCGAAATTGTCCATAGAGAAATGTTAGCCATATTACGTCACACCAATATCAACAAAATATAATAAGTTATGCTGTTTCAACACAATAAGAACTCTGAAGGTTGACAAGAATCAGTCAAGTAGAGGCTCTTGATATGTGGTTGCATAGAAAAATGTTTTGAATACCCTGGACAGCGATTCAGACCAACGAATCTTTGTAAAGAGAGCAAATGCCGTTCTTGAATTATTTAAAACTGTAAACATAAGAAAAATTTGATACCTAGGGCATGTTCTTAAAGGAGACTGATACAGAATTCTACAGGTTGTCTTGTATTTGTACAGGTTGTATTTTTAACTCAGATAACCATGATAACTTTTTTTTGATAGAACTTTTGCTAAATAAATTTTTGAAAAAAAAACTTAAAGCTATAAACGAAACACAGATACATACATGATGTGCACTAAGATTTTTACTAAAATCTTTGCATAAAAAGGATATAGTAGGTTGCATTCCGTCATAAGATATGTCCCCTGAGTTGCAGTCTGAGTTTCTATCACCGTTGTCCATATTCATGCCTCCAGATGGCGCTCGCATGTGGCCGTAGTCCGGGGATGCCCCGTGTTGGGCCGCTGCCAGTAATGCTGGATGAAGAAGGGTGGGTGGGTGATGTATGGGTGGTGATTCTCGTTCGATTTTGTGCATTCGGGGCGGGGAGGAGGAAGCCTAGAAATAAAAATAATACCTTAGTTTTCTCATATTAAAACCTATTTTAAATTTCGTTGACGAAAGCCTAACCAACTTTGACGTAGTTCAACAGTTGGTAATAGATTTCGTTTTTTGTTTGACTGTCCCTTTTACAGGAAAAAAAAGTAGGACAAAAAGAAATATGAGGATTGAGTCATATGATTATATTTTGGACCTTTTTAATCAATATTTTATTAGAGCTGATCCACAAGAACTGAATTTAGTACAAAAACTTTTATTTTATGTCAGAAGAGTTCAATTTGATTCCAGTCTAGATTAAAAACTAACAAATGATTCCAATCTAGATTGAACACTTCAGATATTTGATTTATTGTACATAAAAACAAATAAATTAAAAACTAAATATGATGTAATTAATCCCTAAAGCAACTGGCGAGGTGCAAAAAAGTAACTGTGTTATGATAGAACTTAAATGAATTGCTGGCAAAGAAAATCTTGACACTCATGCTAAAAAGGAACTATTATGTCTGATAATAAGAACAGAAACTTTGTGCTGCATACTAGATACGCGAATAATACTAATGCTTTTGCTGCTCAAAAATACTCTGAGGGCTCTATAAACTAAACAAAGTAATCACAGATTTACTTTTTGGACATTCCTCAGTTAGATATCATCTCTCAACTGCAGGAAAATTGTTTGCCAACAGCATAAATATTTGAAACCGATCCTTTTAGAAAAAAATTAGATAAACCTAGCCGAAACAGATAAAAGGCTTTCTTAGGAGTTAAGATTTTTGGGACTGAATGTAGGATATACCCAAAGATCTTTCAGTAGAAATATATAGAAAACAGTGACTAGTTACTGTTGGCTATTGAAGTGTATATTATGATGTAGCTTTTTAAATTAATTGTCAAATATGATGGAAATAACTAATCTGAATATGTTTAAAGGAATGAAAAATAATTATTGCAATGTTTATTTCTTAATTTAGGAATTGAAAAATATATAAAAGTTAATTAAAATACACCTGTTAATTTTTTACACCACTCATTATAAAAGTAAACAAAGTATTGTTGTCCTTGAACAATTAAATAAGCCAGAATGTAACTGAGTTAAAAGTAGGCTAAATGAACTAACGAGTCTTATAATTGAGGCTTCCTGTTGGACTTAAAGTTATTAAGGTTCTATGTTTGTCAAACGGAAACATAAAAATGTAACTTTTTTGTATTATCACAACTAAAGAAGTTATTGTATTATTATTCCCACAAAAATATTTCATTACTATCTAATTTGAAGATGCAAGATATTATTCAGATGAAATTTTTGTTTGAAATTTTGTTGAAAACACAAGAAGAAGAAATATTAGCAGATAAACCTCTGAAGTTCACATAGAATTTGCCAAAAGTAGAAATTTAAATCCTTATAAATGCCTTCCTAAGTACCTGGGCGTATGTAATATACAAAGTAGTATCTTTCAACGAGCGTTTAACAAAAACTGCTCAAAAGTTGAGTATATAAAAGAAAACAACAGTATATAAAAGCTATGAGGTACCACCTGTGGAACTTCAAATTCTACTCTTCGCTCTGCTTCCCTGGTCCTTGTTTTTTCAACTACTGAATATTGTACTCGAATTTGGCTGCACAGCCTACATGTGAAAAAGGTTGACACTCAGCTGGACACCACGATGAGGATAATAGCAATTCCTTCTCCGAGTACAAAAACAATGGAAATTTGCCGATCAACCAAGATACTGATCATGTCGAAAGTATCCGAATCGGTTTTAGAAAACCAGGAATAAAACGAAAATAATGATTTATGATGGTTTCAATATAACGAACTGATCCAGGATTAGACCTTTCACGAAAAACATGGTCTGCCTTAAATAAAATCCTAACCAGACATGAAAAATGTGCACACATATTATATAAATAAGGATATCAGTGTAGCTGTGGAAAAAAACCACCACATTATATGAAGACTGTCCCAGAAGATTTTGCTGTTTGCAACTTCAGAGTTAATAGAAGACATTAATTAATTTAATGTTTGTTTTTAACTGTTTAAAGTTTGACATAATCCGTGTTATAAGCGTTAGACACATGTTTCTATATTTTTTGGAATTCTCATACGATAAATAAATGTCAGTGTTTTCTATAATATGTTTCTTTAGGTATATGTAATGAAAATTATATTTTAACCAAAATTTGACGTTTAGTTCAAATGTAATTTTCATTACAATAAATTGTGAATTAATTATATATAAACAAAATATTTAACTTAAGATATGGCACAAGAAAACAGTTCCTGAACAGTATATTATTTTTTTATAATCTGCAACAATAAATTTAATGTAAAATATTCCAACATAGCCTATCATGACAAACATGTCAAAATAAAAAGAAAATTTTAACACTACTGTCATTGGCAGTCAATGATTGACTTAAAAATGTATATAGTAAGAAGTGAACATAACATGAAGTACTATCAATTCTCAAAACATTTGCTAATGAATTACAATAATTACAAGAAAGAAATGTCTAATATAGTGAAGAAAATAGTACAACCGAATATCAAAATAAATATTTATCTTAAGAAAAGATATTAATACTAAATACTTTGGGATTTGTAAACTTTTGGATATAAATTGGATTCTATTAGTTTGTTTTAAATTTATTCTTTAAATTACAAATCACACAAACTTTTAGGTCAATATATCGTTAAAATATGAATAAAAATACAATCTAAAAAGACAATTAATTAAATAAGATTAGGGCCCGATTGTTCGAATGCTAATCAATACTTGATTGTAGTCAAATATTTAATTAAAATCAAATATGCAACACTTTGATATTTTGTTGATTGATTTATTTTATTCAATTTTATTTTTTTTTTCGATTTAATTTAAATTAAACCATAATTAAACTCTTTCTGATGTTAATTTTATGTTTTTATTTACAAATAAATAATAATATTAAGCAATTTTTAATAATTTTGACAGCTGCTGTGTCGTATTTGATTGTAATTAAATATGTGATTACAATCAAGTTTTGATTAGCGTTCGAACAATTGGCCCTCAATAAAATAAGTAACTTTACTGAATACTAATTAAATGATCATAAAAATCAATTCTAAATATAAACTAAAAAGGTGAATAGTGAAAACATTTAAACTTTGTAGTTTTACTAACCCTATTAATACTTTGAAAAATGAGTATTCTATAAATGAATGTACTCCATTACTAATGAAAAAAGAAAGTATAAATGTACATTTATGTAAACCACAATTAAAATGCAATTTGGTCAAATTAAAACTTATCTGTGGTATTCTGATTGTGTTAATTTAATGATGAAGATTATAAAATAATATATTTTAAAAAACGTAGACATGTATATTTCTACTTTTAGAAAATTGTGTAAATAAATAAATTTTGAAATAAAACCTACGGTTAAACGACAAAAAGGGTTTCAAATAATCGCTTAAAAACTGTTTGAAAAATGGATGTGTTAAGTGATGAAAAAAGTTTAAAAATTGAATTAGTTAAATATAAAATAAACATACCTGCATTGCCATGTGGTGGCCATGACTTGGTCCATGGAAGAAGGGGCTGTAGGGCGAGAAAACCTGAGATTCGTGGAGACCGGGGTTGGGTATCGCCACCGACGTCGGAAGGGAGACGGGCAACATCGGCGGCGGCTGGTGATATGGGGGCGGCCTTGGAGAAGAACAATTGTTTGGTTCCATAGCGGCGGGAGACATACCCATTCCATCTTGGCCCAAGATTCTGCTCACCGTCCTAGGCGTTATCCTGGTGTCTGTTACTTTGTGGCGTTTTTTCTTTGGAGCAACCACGAGACTAAGTGCTTCGTTCTGCTCTGGGGTTTCTGGCTGTTTGTTGACACAAAATGGATGGTTCATTCCGTATAGGGGTGCGCTGATACCTGGTGGTTTGGGAGGCTGAAACATCGGAGGTCGTATATGAAGATCTGAAGGTTTTTGCATATTATTAATATTATGAACGGGCATCATAGGTGGACAACCCGCATTGCCATTTACCATTTGATTTTGATGATTCGGTGGTGGCGGTGGAGCTTGCGGTCGCTCTGCTACCTTGGTCCTGGGAGATTTTCGGTCCAGTAGTTGCGAGGCCATCATTAGATCTTTGTTTAATTGTTCTGCTGCTGTCGCTGCATCTTGTTGCTTACATCTTTTTTGGTGGACGAATCGGTGTAATATTGAGTCTATAAGGTTTGATAACGATGATGTTATTTCAGTTTTGAGGGCATCCGCTAATCCCTCCAGATCTGTGCCGTTAGGATTTAAATTTCTTATCATATTCAGTCGGTCTGCGATATGGTCGGGTTTTGGAGGTGGGTGATGCTGCTGCTGATGATGTTGATGTTGTGTTGATTGTATTTGCTGTGATTCACTATTTACGGCGTTTGCTTCTCTTTCTTTGGCTAATCTAGCTTCTTGTTCCATAAAAAGTTTGTGACTTACACCTAAATACATTGCCGCAGCATTACTCATGTGCTGATGAGGATTATGTAAAAAACCATTATGAAATTGAGGACCTGGAGGGCTAATTTTCATTTTGCTCACCTCTTGTGCTAGTGTAGGTTGTTGAACAGGTGTAGGTGTACTCGTCGTCACTGGTGAAGGAGGGGCCGAACGTTTACTTTGTTCACTATCACTTGGTATTTCTTCAATTTCTTGACTTTCTTCTGAGCCTTGTTCCACTCGATTACACAAAGCCATATACTTTTGTTGCATTTCGGCTAATTGTTCTTGCATTGATCGTAGTTGAGATTTAAGTATATTCTTTTCTACACGCTTTTGTCTAATAGGTTCTATTTCTTCTTCGTCGTCGTCTACATATCTGTCTGCATTACTGTCGTGTTGTTGTGGCTGATACAATTTTCGTTTTTTACATCCGTTTACTTGTGGTGGTGCTGGACTGGATCTCATACCTGTCACAATATTTTCTACTCGTGCTTTTTTCGCGTCCTCCGGTTTAGCAGGACTTGACGGTTCCACTTTAGGTGATGGAAGTGATTCTGTTTCCATACCATTTAGAGCCTCCTCCATCAATTCCACTTGTTGTCGTTCACCCACTCCGGATTCTGATAGGCACTCTTTCATGGATGCATCAACATCGTTTCTTTCTGGACTTGTCTTTGGTTCGTTGTTATTGTTGTTTATAATGTGATCTTGTCCATTGCGCATGTCCTGTTCTAATGCTAAAAGCTCGTGTTTCCTGCCTTGAAGAATATCTCGCAACATATGATGAGCAAGTTGCTCTCCACTGGGAGGACTGTTATCACACCTTATCACGTTGTCGAATTTCACGTCTTCGCCATCCGCGTTTTCTTGCTTTTGTCGGCCCAAAAGCTCGTTTAACATTTTTGCGGGCGCGAACCCCGGTCCGAAAAGACCGAACTGTTGCTGTTGGGTAAAAATGGCGCCGTATATATTATTACCACTACCGAGAAAAGCCGGTCGCGAACTAAAGTTCGGGATCGAAGAGTATGAATTACGCGGTTCTCCGGCGTCCACACGCTGTCTAGTTCTTTTGGATTTCTTCAGGAGCTTATCTGTATACAAACCGAACTCTGTCTCCTCCTCCGATGACATCATAAGTTGGAGCGTTATTGGTCGTGCAGGTCCCCCTCCAGATTACCGTCCCCACTTTAAGAATAGTCGCCCATGTCAATACCTGAAAACAGAGAGAGCGTGAGGCATCGTCACGGCGTCTGCTGAGACTGCCAACACCTGCGGTCTCAACACAACTGTTGATCTGCCGGTCGACATTCGGCCACGCATCGTGTGTTACAAGCGAGGACGTCACATACGGCCTCAAGCTCGCGACAAACGCATGCTAGCTGCTCTTTTTCTTATTTTTATTTCGCTTTTGCGATATTTAAAAATTCAAATGTGAAATCTCTATTTGTAACAAGATGAACAGTTATGTTAATAACGCATTAATTAACAATTTATTGCTTACTGACAATGATATCTAAAATAAAATAGTTGTTTACACAATAAAAATTTTTACGGGGGTTACCTAAAAAGTTCGAACACGTAGAAGTTCACAATATAATAAATATACATAATACCATAATATATTAGTGCATAAAATAGTTGTTTACATAATAATACATTCTACGGGGGTTACCTAAAAAGTTCGAACATGTAGTTCAAAATATAATAAATATAATATACATTTAATAGTACATAATAAGTACCTACATTTAAAAATAGTAGGTCTTGAAAACGTATGCCGGTGTTTTAGAACAGAGGTAATAAATTTTTAAAATAATAATTTGTTAATTGTTAATTTGTTAAGGTTAACAATAAACTGACAGTCAGTTTAGCATCCTTTAATAACGACATGATTGACATTTTCTTTAAATTTTAGTAATATTCACATAAAATATAAAAATATTTTGACCGCATCTGTTTAACATCTTCTTCTTATTTTTAGCCTGTAGGCATCCACTACTGGACAAAGGCCTCCCCATGTGTTCACCATTCTTCTCTGTTTTGTGCTATTTGGTGTCAGTTTCTCCTCACTTTTGCTTTGATGTCATCTAGCCACCGCTTTTGTGATCTTCCTCTACTACGACTGTGATGCCACGACCACATTTTTAATGTACAATGTTACACTTTTGCGATATCTCGCTTGTTCAATAGTCTGAACTATCGAACTTATTTGATAGTCTGTTGGTAATTATTTTGGTACGCAGTTATACGGATGCAGTAACAGTCTTATTGGTCTTTAATTTTGGAGTTTGTGTTTGTCTTCTTTCTTCTTCTTCTTCTTCTTCTTCTTCTTCTTCTTCTTCTCGTAGCACTCAAACCTGGGGTGGATCCTGGCTGACTGCACAGCCTGCTTCCATCTTGAACGGTCGTCCATAATAGTTGGGTCAGTGGGTAGCCCCATTGTTCTTAAATCTGATCATATATTGTCTCTCCATCGCATTTGTGGACGTCCTAAGGGCCTTCTTACTGTGGGGGTTCCTCTCATATTAACTTGGCAAGGCGATTATTGGGTAGTCTATGGACATGGCCAGCCCATCTTAGATGTTAAAATTTAATCTCTTGGACTATGTCGTTCGCTCTATGCATCTGCTTGACCTGAGCATTTGTTCTCATTCTGTATTGGTTGCTATTATTGTCGTGATAAGGCCCAAAGATTCTTCTGAGGATTTTAATCCCAAAACATCTAAGTTTTCTTTCAGTTTCTTTGGTCAGGGTCTACGTCTCACACCCATACTTGAGCACCGGTCTAATCACCGTTTTATATATTCTAATCTTTGATGTTCGTGTTAGGCTTTTAGATTTAATAGTATTGTGGAGGCTAAACATACATCTTTTTGCTGCCTGAATTCCTCCTTTAATCTGTGATTGTTGCTCCGAGGTATTTATAGCTCTTCACTCTTTCAGTTATATGGGTCTCCTGTAACATTTTGCTCTATTCTATCTCGTCTTTTTTGTCTGTTGATGCACATGTATCTGATTTCCTCTTCGTTTACCCTTAAATCAGTTTTCTTGCCTCTATCTTAAATTTATTAAAAGTCTCCTTCACATTGGTGACTTTGTTTCACAAAGTCAATGTCATCTGCGTATGCTAGAAGTAATTTTGTTCATTTACTGTCAGTAATTCTGTTTTAAGTTGTGCTGCTCTTACTACTTTCTCCAGGATGATATTAAAAAGGAGAGGTGAGAGTGCATCTCCTTGTTTCAGACCACTGCTTATTTTGAAAGATTCTGAGAGTTTGTTACCTATTAGTACTCTGGATCTACAGCTATTCTCACGTAACTTAACAAGCTGGATAAGTTTTTTTGGCTACCATTGCATTCCACATCTAATCCCTTTTAAGCGTACTGTCGTACGCTTGCCGGAAATCTATAAAAAGATTATGGATAGTTCTATTGAATTCCATCCTTTTTCAAGCAGCTGTCTTAGAGTAAAGATCTGATCTACGGTCGATCTATGTTTTCTGAAGCCGGCTTGGTATACCCCCATGAAATTTTCTACAAACAGTGTCAGCCTACTTAATAGGATGTTCGATAAGATTTTATATGTCGTATTAAGTAGGGTGTCTTTATTTATTTATTAAGTCTTCTTTCTAGTGTAGTAAAAGTACCTGCGAATTTTTCCAAGAGGTTGGAATAGCACCCCAAAAGGGCACTTGTTCATTATTAAGAGTTTAATCCCCAGCTGTTTTGGGGAAAAAATCATCTCTTTTGTTATTCCGTCATCTTCGAGAGCTTTTTCATTTTTCATTTGTTTTAGAGCATTTTAAACTTCCTCGTTAATAATTTCTGGTAGTGTTTTAGATCCTACATTTAGTATTTTTCGTTCCATATCGTGATTTACTGCAAGAATCACTTTTTAATCTGCAGCTCCTGTTATGATTTCTTTGGATCCTATTTTGCCCACTTTTTCAGATCATTTGTAGGATCTTTTCCAATTGGAATTCGTTTTGCTAATATTTGATTAAGAGAAAGAGTACCCATAACAGGCAAAACGCTTTCAAATTCCTGGCAAATGTATTTGAATATATACTATTCAGGATTGAGGTGTTTTTCCTAATTTATTCGCTACAAACCTTCAAAACTGATAAAAATAAAACAAAAATAAAAATGGACAAAGTAAAGTTAAGTAAATAAAGGTAGTATGTTATGCATATGTTACAGTTTTTAATAGCAGAAAATGTTCTAAAGAACAAAAAGTGTAGTAGTATCGACAAAATCAACAAGGTGCAAACTTGAGATTGAAAATTAAATGGTAAAACAAGTACAAGAACAAGCGAGGGAACTACTAATAAACGTAAACAGAACTGCGGGATGACGTAACGACACGATTTGACAGCTGAAAATAAGAAGAAAAAGGAGCATTATATAAATCTGTTTTCTGTCATTATGTAAAGCTAGGAGTAGGAGATACACAAAGACAAAAAACTAGGATTTATAAGATTAGAAACATGTGCAAAATAGAAGACCTAATTTATTGGGTGTAGGAAAAAAAATTAAACCGGCATAGTAATCGAACGAGACAAGTCACCATTCGGAAACAGAAGCACCGTTGAACCTAGAAAGTTATTTTATAAGATTCTTAATAACAAATAGAGGTAAGCTGCCCTCTTGACCTTTAAAACACAATTTGATTTTGATCGATGGGACACTCTGATCAAAAGATATCGAATTTTTACCATAGAGTTGATACAAATTTTATTTAAATTTGTAAATGACAGTCAAACTGCCGGTCGCTTCAAGCGTTGTTTCTGAGAGAACGGTTTATTCTACACAGAAAGTGTTACAAAACAATTGTGTTCAAAATTATCTTAGCTACATATCTTATTTGAAACATTTCTTTTTCTACAGTGTATAAATTTTTAAATAGATTAAATCGTAAATCTATTTTTTCCGTTTCCCCCTACAACGAGGGGTTTTAGGGGGAGAAGCCCGGTGGTAGGAGTGGTAAACTTTAGTGAATATTTTTTATGGCCCCCAAATTGATATTTTTAGCAAAATTCAGCTTGTTCTTATGATTTTTAGAGGTTCAGTGATGAGGTTCAGTGAAAGATAGCACAATGAGGACTTAATATATCCCAAAAGAATAAAAAAGGATATAATTTACTAGAATCAGCATGGAAACATTACTCATAAGAAAATTGACAATGATGGACATGAGGAAATGGATCATGTTGCGAGAAACAAATACCAGCAACTAACGTAGTTGACAGTAAAATGCTTTTTGAAAATGTTTTATTACAAGTTTTATCCCGAAGATTGATATCCTTATAAAACAATCTATATTGATTCTTTAAATAAAAAATGGACTATACAAAGTATTACTATATAAATTATATAAAAAAAGGATAAATAAAGGAAACAAAGAAAAATATTACAGGATATGTAATATCGGTAATATCCAACCTTCTTTCATTTAAAAGAAATAGCGTTGATTCAAATTTTCTTTAAAATCAGCAAGGCTTTCAACTACAGGAAAATAAAAATGTTATAAAAGATTTCCCATATCATCGAAAATATCGCGTAATTCTCTCAGCAAAAAATAATTTATATATTGACCGTGTTTATGTTTAGTCATTATCGTTAGAATTATATTATTATATTATGTTTTTCAGAAACAATCAACAATTTTATCTATCCCGCAACAGATGGTGAGAAATAATGTGAGAATTCAAGTAAAGTACATGAAGTTTAGTGCCATATGGCACCGAGAACTGCATGTAAAGAAGTAAAATTACTACAATAGTAGGACGCGATGGGGTGGCTCTTCACTAGATAGTCACCCTCTACAGAACAATATACTGGAGACCTCACTAATGATCGTAAAGATAACTCTTTTCCTATACGACAGTATGAGAAGCAAATTTAGAATGATCTTTATACAAAATCGAATTGATCCCTGCGGAGACCCATTAATGCTTCCGTGTAAGTTTTGTGTACCCTCTAATTTGTCTATTGTGGGTGCAGAATTTGTAGATTTATATAGATAATTTATTACTAATAATAACACCACTTTTTTTGCTATT